GGGAAGAAAGGTTCTCGAGTGGCAGCCTCGTACCGGTAGGCGAAGTGTAGGGCGTCCCCCCACGAGATGGAGTGACGACCTGGTAAGACATGCAGGAAGTCGATGGATGCAGGTGGCTCAGGACCGTGCTCTGTGGCATTCTTTGGGGGAGGCCTATGTTCAGCAGTGGACTTGTGAAGGGCTGTAATGATGATGATGATGATAGATTGGTTCTTCATCTTCAAATGGTGGTAACTTTTTTGTTGAAAATAATACTTTCTTGTATTGTAAAAACGATCTTTCGTAGCCATTTTCTACAAAATTAACGATACCGGCTCATGTTTAGGTACATTTTTTGTTCTATTATCAACATATATAAGATTTCTAAAAATACTTTAAGTAGGCAGACATATTCAATAAAAAATAATGGTGTTTACTTTTTATCAAAATGTCACAAATAGCCGTAAAAAAAAATAAAAACTGATGCTTATTTTTTCACATATTTTGCTAATACGGATGAATCATAACGTATTGCAATAAGGGTTATTTTATTTTTGGTGCCTGTTTTGGTTTGTTGTACAAAAATTTCGATGAAACCACAGTCCGCGCTCGGCCGCCGTCGTGAATGATACTGTATTGCCTGATTGCAGGGGCTCATATTGAAAAAGATCGCTGGACATACACAAAATATTGGAATTTGATACATTGGTACTTGACAAGGTAAAATAATATTACATATCATTTTTATTATAATATTTTGTTTCGCTAAAAGTGTATTTTACATATAAATAAATAAAGGCGAAGTGTAGGGCGTACCCCCACAAGATGAAATGACGACCTGGTGAGACATGCAGGAAGTCGATGGATGCAGGTGGCTCAGAACCGTGCTTTGTAGGATTCCTTGGCGGAGGCCTATGTTCAGCAATGGACTTGTGAAGGGCTGTAATGATTATCATCAAGAAATACCTATTCGTCTTGGACTGGTGTGGTGTGACCTGAAGGTGAACTTCGGTGATGCTACTGGAACTCCGCGACGAGTAGATCTAGATGTATCGAGTTTGGGCTCGTTTTGTTAGTTATGATAAGACCTTACCTCCGGACTTGATGGAGTTACCTGATGGTGTACATCAGTGACTGCTACTGGACCTCCTGGACGAGTAGTACTAAGTGTGCCGAGTTTGGGCTCGTTTTGTTAGTTATGATGAGATCTAACCTCCAGGCTTGATAGAGAAACCTGGTGGTGTACTTCAGTGACTACTACGGGAACACCTGGGCGAGTAGAACTAGGTGTGGCGAGTTTGGACTCATTTTGTTAGTTATGATGCGACCTTACCTCCGGACTTGATGGAGTAACCTGAAGGTGTACATCAGTGACTGCTACTGGAACTCCTGGACGACTAGAACTAAGAGTGCCGAGTTTGGGCTCAAAACAGTGTACTTATCTAAACCAAACACTTCCCCCAACATCATTACATTAGGAAACATGTTGATAATACAAAATATGTATCTCTTCTCAACAAGACATCACTAGGGAAAATAGACTTTTAGATGGCTTGCTAAGTAGAGTTACTTAATTGATTTCATTGGCTTTGTAGTCGCCGTTAATGTGCATGTATTTGTGGAAGGGAGAGAGGTGCTTCTCACTAGGTTATACACTAATTTATTTTTTACAAGGGTCTTAGCTAACTCGTTATCACCGCCTTAAGGACGCGTTTGCAAATCGGGCAAAATTATGCTGTTTTTCGGTACATTTTGTAACAAAACTAAACCAAATCAAATATAACTAATAACTACCATGTATAGATTGGTTTTTTTTTTTTTCTCTGCGTGATAAACTTAGGAATGAGGATATCCGCAGTAGAACCAGAGTTACCGACATAGCCCAACGGATTAGTAAGCTGAAGTGGCAGTGGGCCGGCCATATAGCTCGAAGAACCGACAACCGATGGGGAAGAAAGGTTCTCGAGTGGCAGCCTCGTACCGGTAGGCGAAGTGTAGGGCGTCCCCCCACGAGATGGAGTGACGACCTGGTAAGACATGCAGGAAGTCGATGGATGCAGGTGGCTCAGGACCGTGCTCTGTGGCATTCTTTGGGGGAGGCCTATGTTCAGCAGTGGACTTGTGAAGGGCTGTAATGATGATGATGATGATAGATTGGTTCTTCATCTTCAAATGGTGGTAACTTTTTTGTTGAAAATAATACTTTCTTGTATTGTAAAAACGATCTTTCGTAGCCATTTTCTACAAAATTAACGATACCGGCTCATGTTTAGGTACATTTTTTGTTCTATTATCAACATATATAAGATTTCTAAAAATACTTTAAGTAGGCAGACATATTCAATAAAAAATAATGGTGTTTACTTTTTATCAAAATGTCACAAATAGCCGTAAAAAAAAATAAAAACTGATGCTTATTTTTTCACATATTTTGCTAATACGGATGAATCATAACGTATTGCAATAAGGGTTATTTTATTTTTGGTGCCTGTTTTGGTTTGTTGTACAAAAATTTCGATGAAACCACAGTCCGCGCTCGGCCGCCGTCGTGAATGATACTGTATTGCCTGATTGCAGGGGCTCATATTGAAAAAGATCGCTGGACATACACAAAATATTGGAATTTGATACATTGGTACTTGACAAGGTAAAATAATATTACATATCATTTTTATTATAATATTTTGTTTCGCTAAAAGTGTATTTTACATATAAATAAATAAAGGCGAAGTGTAGGGCGTACCCCCACAAGATGAAATGACGACCTGGTGAGACATGCAGGAAGTCGATGGATGCAGGTGGCTCAGAACCGTGCTTTGTAGGATTCCTTGGCGGAGGCCTATGTTCAGCAATGGACTTGTGAAGGGCTGTAATGATTATCATCAAGAAATACCTATTCGTCTTGGACTGGTGTGGTGTGACCTGAAGGTGAACTTCGGTGATGCTACTGGAACTCGGCGACGAGTAGATCTAGATGTGTCGAGTTTGGGCTCGTTTTGTTAGTTATGATAAGACCTTACCTCCATACTTGATGGAGTGACCTGATGGTGTACATTAGTGACTGCTACTGGAACTCCTGGACGAGTAGTACTAAGTGTGCCGAGTTTGGGCTCGTTTTGTTAGTTATGATGAGATCTAACCTCCGGGCTTGATAGAGAAACCTGGTGGTGTACTTCAGTGACTACTACGGGAACACCTGGACGAGTAGAACTAGGTGTGGCGAGTTTGGACTCATTTTGTTAGTTATGATGCGACCTTACCTCCGGACTTGATGGAGTAACCTGAAGTTGTACATCAGTGACTGCTACTGGAACTCCTGGACGACTAGAACTAAGAGTGCCGAGCTTGGGCTCATTTTGTTAGTAATGATGAGACTATACCTCCGGGTTTGATGGAAAGACCTGAAGGTGTACTCCGGCGAATGCTTCTCTTAGTTATGCTTCTTATCTTGTGTAGTAAAGTGTATATTGTATAACTTTCATAACTCAATTATTATTTTAGATGCCGAGTAATAAGACATTTGGCAAATGTCTATCAATGCAAACTCGGCACACTTAGTTCTACTTGTCCAGGAGTTCCAGCAGCAGTCACCGAAGTACACCATCAGGTCTCTCCATCAAGTCCGGAGGTAAGGTCTCATCATAACTAACAAAATGAGCACAAAGTCGGCACACCTAGTTCTACTCGTCCAGGAGTTCCAATAGTAGTCATCGAAGTACATCATCAGGTTTCTCCATCAAGCCCGGAAGTTAGATCTCATCACAACTAACAAAACGAGCCCAAACTTAGCACACTTAGTACTATTCGTCCAGGAGTTCCAGTAGCAGTCACTCATGTATACCTTCAGGTCACTCCCGTCAAGTCCAGAGGTAAGGTCTCATCATAACTAGCAAATCGAGCCCAAACTTGGCAAACCTAGTTCTACTCGTCGAGGAGTTACAGAGCAGCAGTCACTGAAGTACACCATCAGGTAGCTCCATCAAGCCTAGAGGTAAGGTCTAATTATAAGTAGCAAGTCGAGTCCAAACTCGGCACACCTAGTTCTACTCGTCGAGGAGTTCCAGAGCAGCAGTCACTGAAGTACACCATCAGGTCTCTCCATCAAGCCTGGAGGTAAGGTCTCATCATAACTAGCAAGCGAGCCCAAACTTGGCACACCTAGTTCTACTCGTCGAGGAGTTACAGAGTAGCAGTCACTGAAGTACACCATCAGGTCTCTCCATCAAGTCCGGAGGTAAGATCTCATCATAACTAACAAATCGAGCCCAAACTCGGCACACCTAGTTCTACTCGTCGAGGAGTTACAGAGTAGCAGTCACTGAAGTACACCATCAGGTCTCTCCATCTAGCCTGCAGGTAAGGTCTCATCATAACTAGTAAATCGACCCCAAACGCGGCACACCTAGGTCTACTCATCGTGGATCGTGGAGTAACAGTAGCAGTCACTGAAGTACACCATCATGTCTCTCCCTCAAGTCCGGAGGTAAGAGCTCATCATAACTAACAAAACGAGCACAAACTCGGCACACTCTGTTCTACTCGTCCAGGAGTTCCAGCAGCAGTCATTGAAGTACACCATCAGGTCTCTTCATCAAGTCCGGAGGTAAGGTCTCATCATAACTAACAAAACGAGCTTAAACTCGGCACACCTTATTCTCCTCGTCCAGGAGTTCCAGCAGCACTCACCGAAGTACACTTTCAGATCTCATAGATAGGTATTCGAATTTCGTATCTAAGTATATTTTGGTAGATATAAGAAATGAGAAAAAAAATCAATCTTTCAAAGTATCAAAATATTTTATTTGATTACGATTCCCGCAGCTAACCGTGCGTACACTTGTGTGTGTGCCCGTGTCAATGTAATAGTTCGATTCTATACCTATCAATTTTGCAAACGCGTCCTTAAAACAAATGTTTTCTGCAAAATAAAGTTTACAATTCTATTAATTAGATTGTGAATGTTTAACAAATTCAACCCTGAGATCATACCTTTTAGATACATGTGCATTCAATTTTGAACCATGAACATGGAGCTACTTGAAACCAATGGAAAATATGTCATACCATTAGATACGGTAGACTTATCACTTTTATCAACATTGAATGTTGCTCCAAAGCATCACAACGATTTATTGCCTTTATGGAGTAAAAATAACTTAACATTGAGGAATGAAGATTGCTATTTAGAATTTGAAATCAAAGATAAGCAGGACATCTCTGACACAGATACATATTATGATGAAATTGAATTTGAAATAGATGATAAACAAGATATCTCAGAGTCGAAGGCCACATATGTTATTCCCACAGGTATTCAAAATTGATATATATCTATACAAATAAATAAAATTGAAGTGTCTGTTTGTAATGTCAAAATTACAGTTTTTTACTAAATGCATATGAAAGTAAATACGATACCTATAACTAAAATACAATTTTTAAAATTTTTGTGTGTCTGTCTGTCTGTCTGTTTGTTCCGGGTAATCTCCGAAACGGCTGGACCGATTTTGACGGGACTTTCACTGGCAGATAGCTGATTTCATAAGGAGTAACTTAGGCTACTTTTATTTTAAAAAAGAATCAGGGTTCCGCGCAGAAACATAAAAACCCTAACACGCGAACGAAGTCGCGGGGAACAGCTAGTATATAAATAAAATTGAAGTGTCGGTCTGTAATATTGAAATAACTCGCTTTTATTAAGCTCGGGGGCTATTTGCAAGCTATTAAGATATATATACAAGAAACAGTTGTCTAATGGTAGGGTACGGACCGTGAATTGAAAAGGTCGCGGCTTCGAATCCACCATTCGACTACGGTCGTGAGCCACTCCTAATACAAGCATTTTAAGCTTACCAGGAGTAGTTAAAAGGATTATTAATAATATCCATAGCATTGCCAGTTTTTATTGCTATGTATGTAACCACATGAACACAATAAAATGTTTGAGTTTTGAGTTATTTAAAAATAAAATTAAAAAATAAATTTAAACATGTTTTTTAAATTCTGTGTAATTGCTAATCCAATTGTAATGAAACTTTACGAACAGATATTGAAGAATTGTTTTTTGAACAACGACAAATAAGTTAATATGTACCTTTTTTTAAAGAAAATTCATCAAATCCCGATGTCAGTGGAGAAATAACTAGAAATTTGTGCTATATTTGCAATATCGAAGTTCCCTTGCCATATATGAAGGAACACATAAATAGTACTAAACATAAGACATTCCTAAAAATAACAGAAGTAGCATTAGAAAGAGTTAAAAAGCAAGTGGCCCACAACTTCTCTGATAAAAATCCTGTCTCGTCAATGTATTTTTGTCAAACATGTGTTACAACAACACCTGTCAAAGACAAATCCTTCCATATGAAATCAACTGCTCACAAAAACGCTGTTATATTAGATAGAATATTAAATGATTTTTTAAAAATATACACACATGATGAATTAGAAACAGATAACACCGAATCAGAAATCGAAACTCCTAATCATGAAGAATTGGATAAAGTTATCAATAAAATGTTAAATGCTAATTGTACCAAAATATGTAATGATGAAGACGTAAACAAACCTGATATCGAAAAGCCAGTCTGCAATAAAGATATTACCAAAGAAATAGTTTGGAAGCTGATACCAATTACATTTCAAAAGATAAATGAAGATGATATTGTCAGTTGTGGTACAAATTTAACAGAATACATAAATAATTTAAATGCTAAAACTTTATCTTCACACAAGGTAAAAGATGTTAATGGCGAGTATCTTATTATCGAAACAAAAGATGGCAGTCAGTTAAAAGTGACACACAACAATTTTCATGGAGTATCGGCTATGGGAAAGCGCCATGCTCAGTGCAAACTGTGTACAGAAATAGTTAAAAATTTAGTTGAACATATGTATTCTCAAAAACATTTTGAGAATATAGTACTGCCAATAAATGACAAGGAATGTATTAGAGAGGTAAGTGTTTATTCACTATTAGACCCTTTTTACTGGAAAAGAGGCATTCTATCTTGGTCCTCACGACTGACAACTCATCTGCATTTTAATTCGCAAACGAAGATAGATGTAGATTTCTATGGGTCACAGTGACCACTTACCATCAGGTGGACTGTTTGTGCTTGTTTGTCACCCCTATTCTATAAAAAAAAAAACACTCACCACAGCCCGTCACAAGTCCTCTGCTAAACACATGCCTCCCCAATAGACTGTCACAAAGTTCTGAACCACGTGCATCCATAGATTAACTGTGTGTTTTATCAGATCGTCATGCCATGTAGTTGGTGAGCACAGGCTATTATTTCCATGCTGAGTTTACTATATAAGAGTTTACTATAACATGTTGTTTATATAACTTTGTCATTAATGAGAGCTAATAGTCTTCCGTTCACCAACAGTCGCTTGTTGGGACTGAGGTGAACTTATTTGTTACACAATGTCATTTAATTGAGAAGTAAGTTTTGATTAAAAGTATAAATACACAAAAAATGATTCTTTTTTTTTTAATTTTTCTACTTTTAGTTATATCCGTAGTTTGTTTTATTCAGTCTTCATCTAATTACAGAAAGAAATATCAACCCTTACATTTTCCCAACAAATTATCTGCTCCGCTAGGAAACCTGTCTAATGTTTCAACTCATTTCAAAGCAGCGCCGCCCTGGTGGGAGAAAAAGTGGATGCCCTTATTGCCCATCTTTTCTCGTTGCTCTTGTAATTGTTGTCCCTGCAATAACAAGAAAGATCTGATTGCCTTTGGTAGATAGCATTATTGTCTCTTACAATTATGTATTCCTAGGTAATTTTGACCACAGCTACTATAGTGCTACATATACATATATAACATGGCAACACTCCTGTAATCCCCGAGGGTGTAGGGTGAGTCCAAAAAGTAGCAAACTACTCGAAACTCACATAGCCAATAAAATATGAGTATAGATGGATAATTGTGAAAAAAGGGCAGGTGGCGGGCACATCGCCTACACAAACACAAAACCAACGTCTCAGTAGTCACTTATTCAAGGCAAATTACATCGTTGGTACAATAGACAAAAAGACAAAAGTTTCTTGTGTCATAAGTTCAATAGTGGAAAAGCCACGCTGCATCTATTTTTATTATAGATTTAGTACGAATAGTTCGGCTCTGCCATGGAGGAGCACGCTCTCACAGAAAATGAGCTTAAAATAGCGGCTGTGTTTCGTATGGTGAGTATGAAGACTCTTTTTACTGGAAATGAGGCATCCCACCTTAGTCGTTAGCGGTGATAACACCTCTGCATTTTGATTCTTAATAGAGGATAGATGTAGATGTTTATTGGTTACAACATCTTACCACCAGGAGGACTGTGTGCCCGTTTCTCACCCTTATTCTAATAAAAAATTGTCACCTATATTCTATAGAAAAATGGACACAAGAATTTTTATTTTTAGTTGTTATTAAGAAGACGTTGCTGCTCATCTCCTGGTTTGTTTCCCTCTGTCGCCTTTTAAGACACCCACGGGACGATATGGTGCTGACACCACCACTACGTGATATTCAATAACGTAAGATGATATACCTATATAAAAGCTTTTCTTGTTACAGTTGGATAATACTAAAAGCCATTGCATTCTATGCAATGAGTTAGTGGAAAGTGCCGATTCCCACGCACTTTGCAACAAAAGACACAAAGCGTTATTGAAAAATTCTATCTTGTTATCTGAACAGGGGGGTGAGAGCCAAATAATAATTGAAACACGAAGCGATGTTAACAAACCAAATATTATTACTCCACTTGAAAGTAACGAAGAACAAGTACCAAAAGATTGCGCTGCTAAAACTACCTATAATAATATAAACAACGCACCGTCGGAGCTTGAAAAGAATGAGTTTGTTATACAATTGGATGCTAGTAAAACTGACAGATCTAAAGCTAAGAATTTTTTTTGCAGTGTCTGTCAAATTTCACTTCGCAAAAAAGATATTCGTTCACATATATTTAAGCATAAAGCAGCCGAGAAACGCAGCACCTATATGTTGGAATATTCTATTGAAGCGAATAATTTTAAATGTGTGGTTTGTAATTGTTTCGTTGATACCCATATCGTTCATTTAATGAGTACAGGTCATATTGATCGTTACAACGCTTTATTAGCCGCAAACAAAATGATTACGACGCAAGGAAATGTTTTTTGCGAAGCATGCACTATTTATATGTGTATAGGAAATGAGCTGGTTCATATTGATTCTACAAAACATAAGAAGTTGCTTTTGGATTTGAAAAGTGTAATTGTTGACAAACCCACAAAAGAAAAGCTTAGTACAGAAGCCAGAGGTTACGATAGTAAACAACATTTTTGCGTTATTTGCCAAGTTAATGTACCAAACAATTCCCATAACATCAGTACACATCGTAATGAAAAATTACATAAACATAATTTGGCTAACGTTTTTGACTCAAATGGTGTTTCTGTTCAAGAAAATAACAAGAACGATCAAAATAATAAAAGCACTCTTGGTAATTTGCCAAGTCTATCTAAAAATGATGAAGAAAAGGCTAGTGGTAATCCGCCAGCAGAGATATTTTCTAAGGACACGCCGTCAGGAAGTGTTGCCAAAAAAATTCTAGTTGCTAAGCGAAACGGAAAATTACATATCGAAAAAGATTCAAATTCAAACTCTGTAACACGAACAGCTAATACACATGATAATAAAACTTTGAAATCTGTTACTAGTGAAACAGTGAAAAATGTTTTAGAAATTACCTTAAATCCGAGCGAGTTGAAGTGCAGAATATGCTTAGTGATAATTCCAAATAAAACAGAGAAAATTCAAAAACACCTTAACGGTTACGATCATAACTATAGTGCTAGAATACTACTGGTGCAGAACCGGTTGGAATTGACAGGAAATCTGTATTTTTGTGACGGCTGCCGTGAACCTGTGAATGTAGGAGACCAATTCGATCATATAAAAAAGCGATCCCATGCAGTGAATATGGACAGAACATTTACTAACGATATAGTAAATGCCTTTGTAGAAAACCAAGATCATACGGATACCGAGTCAAATAAAGATAATACTTTAATCAAGAGACAAGTTCATACCTTAAAAGTTCTACGAAGTAGTTCATTAAAAATACCAATGAAATATTTTGAAATGAAACTTACTGATAATCTAGGTGTGGTAACGTGCCAAGTATGTAATGTAAAAGTACCTCACGTTGTTTCTGCATTGAAAATTCATGTAGAAGGACGAAACCACGTCGAAAAATTGCAAGAAATGTTATCAAAAAACAAAATACTAACAAAAAATGACCGCTTTAATTGTTCGGTGTGTCAGAAGTATATGAGGAAAGAAGTTCTTTTCAATCATGTTAAAAACCAAAATCACGTATCGGCCCTTGCGAAGACGCCGCCGAATAGCATTTGTAAAGTCTGTAATATAGCTATAATAAAGGGAAAAATAGCTGAACACGTTTTAACCACGCAGCATATTAATAATGTAAAGAAAAAAAATGAAATAACTAATTATTTGTGTGAAATTTGTGACGTTCAATTGACCAATAATGCCACGAACATTAACGAGCATAACGATGGTTTGCAGCATAAAAACAATTTAAAACAAATAGAGGTAAATAACATAGAAATAAAAGAATGTGAAATGAAAAAGAAGTGTTACTGCAATACGTGTGAAGTGTACTTCGCTTGCAAATCTGTCCAGGAACATATTCTTACGTCGAAGCATTTGATTTTATCGGGATCTGGACTTTAGCAAAAAAAGCAGCAGCTTTAGCTTCAGCAGAAAGTGTCTTCAGTAAATTAAAAATTACCCTGTATAATATATACTCACGCAATAAGAACAACTAGTGAGCAATACTGAAACAATACAAAATGCAGAAAAAATATTGAAAGATACTAAAAGTGATATATTTTTTAATTTAACGGTAACAGGTACATGACATAACAAGCAAAAACAAAAGGATGGCCGTGATTTAGTATTTAAAAAATAAAAAAAGCCGTTAAAGACGTCCGAGTAACAGTTGTAAAAGGAAATACTTGGTACTTTATAATTAAATCATAGGAAAGAGATATACCATATTAATATACTACTAGATCGGAAATTTAGAACCAAAACTGTGCCACAGCTGTAAGTAGCGCGGACGGGTAGCTTTAGGCGAATACGAAATAAAGTTACATAGGTACGTATCTAAAATATACTTCATACAAATCGCGTTGACAATGTGCGCAAATGTACACAAATAAATAAAATTGAAGTGTCTGTTTATAATGTCAAAATAATGCTTTTTACCTAAGGTGGAAGCGCCAGAGTAGCCCGCGAAATTCAAATTTTCTTAAGTTTGTTGCAATTTGTCAGGTTGAATGTTTAACAAAATATGATTCGCGACCGTAGCGAGTATGTATTACAGAATTATAATCATTATAATCACCAACCTGCCTGCAAAGTCCAAAAAACGTAAGAAAATTTGAACTTCGCGGGTCACCTTGGAGCTTTCACCTTAATGCATATGAGAGTGTATACGGAAGTTATAACAAAAAAGTTATGAAGAATTGACCATATCTTAGTATGCAATGTATTAATACCGCAGTACACGTCTAGAAGTATATATAAAAATCTTTGATCATAACCAATAAACGCATTAGCATGGCTATCATAATTAGACTTGTCATGCTCTCTATGTATATATTTCTTTAATGTTAAAAATCTATTTTAGAAACCTCAGTATGACACATTTTTTTTTTGCAAAACGGGAAATGATATTTAGTTCTATGTTTTAATTGTATTATTATAACTATAGTGTGAAATAATGCACATTTTGGTTTAAGTATGCCATGGACTCAATTTATTTTTATAGGTTCCACATTTTTGTTATAATAAACCAAATGTATACAAAATTTTCTTTTCTTCTGCTTTTTATTTTGTTTCCAATACCAAATGAAAAATGATTATAATACTTAAGGAAAATTAACGTAAAAAGTTCAAAGAATTAAAAAGAATTTGATTATTTCTAGATAATAACAGCTTTAGAAGTAGATGATTAAACTCAGTGTATATGTTACCGGCAAAACCCGATTTCAGGCCAGACCAGTACTAGTTTGGCCTAAATACTTTAGGCTTAACTAGTTTGGCCTAGACAGATCTGAGTAAATGAAAATAATTTTTGTTTTACGTTGATGTGGTCAACATATTGGTGTGTTTTCGTAATTGGTCTTAACTGTTTTATTGTCTTAAATTCTTACCCATTGTTAAAGGTTTCATACAATTTTTTTCTATACTTATGTACTCTAAAATATTCTATGTATGATTGTTTTTTCATAAGGCTAAGCGTTATTAGGTAGTGCTTTGCCCTCAATAAATTAAGGTCAAGCAATTTTGTGTTTTTAAAATGTCTCTACGGAAAATTTCGGGCATCAAGGAAGTGCCACAACATTACTATTTAAAAATGTATTTATTGCTTTTCGAAGTATTCTCCGCGAAATTTGACACATTTTTCCATACGATGGAACCAATCATTGAAGCAACCATTCCATTCGGAAGTTGGGGTCTCCAAAATGGCCGTGTTGTAGGCGTCCACAGCTTCTTCAGGTGATGAAAATCTCTGTCCACGCAATTTATTCTTTATTTTAGGGGAAGTATAGAAATCATTAGGGCTTAGGTCGGGGCTGTACGGCGGATGGTCTAATAATTCTATGTTTTCTTGCCTAAAAACTCTTTTGTTCTGTGTGCGGTGTAAGAACTCGCATTGTCGTGATGGAGGATGATGCGACGGTTGCAGTTCTCTTTACGGAGTTCAGAAACGACCTGTGGCAAACAAATGCTAGCATACCATTCTGCATTAACCGTTCTTTGTCCCTCAAGAGGAATAGTCGTAATATGGCCGGTTTTGGAGACAAACGTGGCCACCATTTTTTATGCAACACTCCGTGAACGAACAATTTTTGTTGGCTTTAACTCATTTTCGAACACCCAAACTCGTGACTGGTTTTTTGTTTCGGGTTCGTACGCGTATATCTAGGATTCGTCACCTGATACGATGTTGTATACAGCATTTGAGGATCCTGCGTGGAATCTTTCGAAAGTTCTGACGCACCAAGTAACGCGAGCCGCTTTTTGCTCTCCACAGAGCGAATGCAGTATCCATCGGGAAAACAACTTTTTTACACCTAATTGTTCATGCAAGATTATTTGTATTTGACTCATGCCAATGTCTAAAGTTGCCTGAATTTCGCGGTATGTCACATGTCGATCTTCCTCAATCAGCTTACGCACAGCATCAACGTTTTCTTGGGTGACTGCAGTTTTTGGACGACCTTGACGGGGATCATCATTGAGCTTGACACGTCCACGTTGAAATTCAGCAAACCAGCGATAAATAGTGGTTTTGGATGGGGCTTCATCACCAAATGCAGAAATCATCCAGTCAACACTGTTTTTGTGTTAAACCACTTCGAAAGTCATAATAAATCATCGCTCTTGAATTTTCTCGAGTCAATTCCATTTTCTCAACGACTAAACAAGTTTGACAAAACCTTGTAACAAGACCGAGAATATTTTTTTAAATAAATAAATGGTATTCAATTTTAAAAAACCAAGGACTTCAATTAAAAAGATTTTAATATGACAGGATCAGTGGAAATATTCCATTCCCGATACTTTTAGTGCAGCCTATGTATCATAACCATATTGCACTTATACGATAATATGAGTAAAACACTAATTAAGCCATCTTATATTTTCTTAAAAATCGTTTAATATTACTACTTTGGAAAAAAAACGATTTGAAAATAAATTTACGTGGACCATAATATGCGTAATAAATACTAATAGTGAGTCAACTCCTTTGTTATACCGCAAAATACCTACAAGGCTGTCGTCGCTAAATATATGCAAGGGTTGACACAAAATATTTCCTTAGGTAATAATATCATAAAATTGTATTTTATCTATATTCCTTATAATAAATTTATTTTTCTATACAAAGATACAATGTCATTACTACTGTACAAAACTAGTTGCGTCCCGCAGCTTCACCTGATTTGTCGTGATTGAAACAAAGAGTTGTGCTTGTGCAGGTACTTATAGTACCTGCACAGGTGCACAGGTAATTATACTATATTTTACCTATATAGCACTTACGGTATTCCGCTTAAAATATTGGGTAGGGGGTTGAACAGAACAAATAAAACAAGTTAAAATTATACATAGGTTCTGTTCTGTTTATTCAACGCATGCCGCCTCGTTACAGATGTGCAACCGACGAATATTTACTTATTTATTATTGGGAGTTTTAATGGTCTTTTGTAGAATTTAACTCATCCCTACATATATTATTGGATTATTGGTCTGCCCACAGCAGGGCTCGGAAACCGGTTCAAATTCTAAACCGGTTTCGGCCATTGACTCCTTAACCGGTTATTGCGGAATACCGGTTTTTCACAAATTTAGGTTTAGGTAGTAAGAATTAATCGGTTAAAACCAAGTTTTGTAATGTCCCCCCTCTCCCTTACCCCGCTTACACCCAACTTTGTACGGCAGCCCTCTGTTTAATTCACGAGGTTTTTAGACACATGAACGATATACGTGGGGCACACTGAAATGATCGGGAATAAGAAAAACCCAAGACCCAAACTGCTGACTGATGTTTTCTTTCAGGTTCGTATGAATAAGGCCGGCCACATACATACGGAATTCCGTTTCGAGATTCCGTTTCGATATTCCGATTCGGGATTCCGAACGCAGCAAGTCCATATAATATCTATGACCCGCCACACACGTACGTTATTTTTCCGTACGAAATTTCTCCGATTCGAAATTCCGTATGATCGTCTGTGCGTTCGGGATCCTGAACGGAAAAAAGCCGCTCCGAACGCACGTCTTCCATAGATTTTGTACGAGTCGCAACACACATACGTAAATTCCGTACGGAATGCGCTCAGTGTTCGTCGCACGACCGAAGCGAGTAGGTGTATTTATGTATGTTTTTAAATTTAATCTTGTAGGTGTATAGCTTTTCGTAACCTTTCATCTTATTTTATTTAATAATTCTTCGATAGAATTTACATACATAAATGTTTAAAAAATATCTCTGGATAGATAGATCTTTTTACATAGTATTGACTATATTGCAAGCTTAGGGTGATAAGGGGATGCACCTAGTAAGAATGATACAGCAACAATGGAATTTGCAATTAGAAAATCGTCGTCATTATTCGCTGGCAGAATGTCTAGACTCAATGGCTAACGTCTCTCAACTGACCCTTGTTATTCCGAACGGAAAAAAAACGTGTGTGTGTGATGTATTCACGGAATCCCGATTCGGGATTCCGAAACGGAATCACGAAACGGAATTCCGTATGTATATGGCCGGCCTAAATCCATGATTCGTCATCTGAGACGATATTATAAACGGCATTTGACTTCCCTCCGTAAAGGCGTTGCAGAGTATTCCGGCACCAATCTACACGAGCCGCCTTTTGCTCTTCGGACAAATTGTGGGGAACCCAGTGGGAAACTAGCTTTCTTACACACAGCTCATTATGTAATATCGACTGAATTGCAGTCATTCCGATGCTGATAACAGCCCGAATTCCCTATTTCATATCAATAGCCCATTACGCGTTTTTAATAAAATGTATTGTTGTATGTGTAATTTGTTAATAAAATGATTTTCAAATTTGATAAGTTGTATTGCTATTAAAAATTTGAAGGCCCTTTAGCCCTTGATAGACAAAAATAGTGCAATACAGTTGTGT